GTCTTCAAACTCTTGCCAGGTTGACAGTGAAACCAAGATAGTGTTCACAGGTGCACGAGACAAGGCATCCGCATGCTGCATTTTCGTGTTAGGTAGGTGTTCTATCGTATAGTCATATTCTTCCAATTTTAAGATCCAACGAGCTAATTTACCATTTGGATGTTTGATGTCTCGAAGCCATTTCAAAGCCTTATGATCAGTATATATGGTGACCTTTCTCCCATATACATATGGGTGAAAATATTGTAAAGCCCAGACCACTGCAAACGCTTCCTTTTCTGTTGTTGTCCAGTTCTTTTCAGCACCCGAAAATGCCTTAGATGCAAAAGAAACCACTTTTTCTTCCTCATTTTCATCCTTTTGGGTCAGCACTGCGCCTATGCCCACATCACTCGCATCCGTATACAATATATAGTCTCCATTTAAGTCAGGAAATGCCAAAACAGGGGCAGATATAAGTTGTTCTTTCAGTTGTTCGAACGCTCGTTGACAGTTCTTGTCCCAATCAAAGCGGACACCTTTTTGCGTCAGACGATGAAGAGGACCTGCAATGTCACTGAAACCAGAAATAAAACGCCTGTAGTAAGAGGTCATACCCAGGAAACGTCGCAACTCAGTGAGATTCTGTGGGGTAGGAAAAGCACGGATTGCTTCAACTTTGGTCACATTTGGGGCCAGACCAGCAGCAGAAACGGTAAAACCCAAGAAATCCACACTTGGCTTCGCAAAACTACACTTGGACAACTTAAGTCTCAATCCATCTTTGTCTATAGCCTGCAAGACATCGTCCAAATTCTCCAAATGTTGGTCAAACGTGCGACCCACGACCAAAACATCATCTAAGTAAACCAGACACTTGAGTGGCAAAAGACCATTCAACACAGTAAGCATAAGTCGCTGGAACGTGGGCACAGCATTCGTTAGGCCAAAGGGCATACGCAGGAATTCAAAGTGACCACCCCCTGGAATCACGAAAGCTGTTTTCTCCTGACTAGATTCGTCAACTGGAACCTGCCAATATCCCGAGGCTAGGTCGAGTGTCGAAAAATACTGATGACCAGCTAAGTTATCCATCAAATCAGCAACCTGGGGAAGTGGGAAAGCATCTTTCACTGTGACATCATTTAGTTTCCTGAAATCAATACAAAAACGCCATGTCCCATCTTTCTTTCGAACTAAGACTATAGGACTTGACCATGGTGAATTACTCGGCTTAATTATGTTGTTTTCCAACATTTCTTCTACTTGGTCTTCAACAACGGTTCTCAGAGAATTGGGCAGTCTTCGAGGCAGTTGTTTAACAGGTACGGCATCGCCTGTCTCAATCTTATGCTCTGCTAGTGTGGTTACGCCAAGTTCACTAGAATTTTTTGCGAAAATATCTTGGTGTTTATTCAACAAATTTTCCATCCTCTCTCGCTCCTCACCCGACAGATGCTCTAACTCAAATTTGATCTTATCCTCAGCAGATGGTGTACCACACTTTGAATTAATAAATGTTGGGTCTCTTAACTCATCACCAACTTGCTGAAGGTGCCCAACCGTCATGCCCTTGTACAACTTAATAGGTGATGTCCCTGGATTAATAATCTGGATGGGTACCCTCTGTTCTTTTGGCTGTACAATAACTCTTGCTACAAGAACACCTTTCTCGGATAAATTCATATTAGGCTCTAAGATGCTTTCATTTAAAGTGGGATTTCGGACCCTGGCAGTTTTGAAAACTTCATGTTTCGCCGGAACAACCAAATCCTCATCTAGAACAACGCCCAGGGGATCTGCTATGGTTGAATCAAATAAACACAAGGGTTTTGTGGTACCATCTGGGAATTTCAAAACCATTTCAGCCATATCGACATTTACTTTATTAGTTACTAACCAATCTAAACCCAGAATAATTTCAGACACCATTTCATTAGCCACATAAAAGTCATGAGATGACTTGTTGTTTTCATCAAATTGCACATTCAAGGTGGTTTTGCCCAAAATCCCAATGGGAGAATTGTTAGCGGCTTCTGCAACAATATCGGATGGAAATAATGGGGTATCATCCAGTTTAAGAGGTTGCCACTGGTCTTTACTAACTAATGAAATAGATGCGCCAGTGTCAACTATACAAAGTTTGTTTTTCCCATTAATAGTAGTCTCGACCATAAGGGTTTTCTTCTTACTCGCTGAAGAAACGGTAGACAGTCTGATTTTTGAATCATTTTTCTTGGGGCTTTCACCATCTCTACTAGAACCCATACCTCCCTCCAACTTGGCATTACAGAACTTTGCAATATGGCCACTATTCCCACAACGATAGCAAATGGTCACGTGTCTATCCATTTGCCAATTCTTATCATAACCTTGGAGCTTAGTATTAACTGGTTGTTGATTAGCCAAGGGGCAGGATTTTGCCAAATGTCCTGGCTTTTGACATGAATAACATAACTTAGTTTGTGGCCGTGCAGTATTATTTTGCCTGAAGTTGTTCATAGTAGGGCACTGTCTGGACACATGACCAAATCCATTACACGAATAACATGTTTTAGCAGCATTCAAAGAACTGAGCCAATTGTTGTTCTACTTAATTTTTCTGTTGCTTCTCTGGCTAATGTTTTCATTGTGGCATTTGCTGCCTCAAATCTTCGAGCAATTAACAAGGCATCATCTAAACTGTTTGGTGGCTCTTGTAACAACTTGTTTTGGGTGGCCTTATCTCTCAACCCCAAAATAAATTGATCAACCAACCTGCTAGAATATTCGTCACCATGGAAACCACATCTAGCTCCAGCTTCTCGCAAAGAAACAGCATACGAATCAACAGACTCACCAGGTTCCTGTTCTCGACGATGAAAATTGTAACGTTTCTCTGTAGCAGTCTGATTCCTTTCAAATAACGACTTCAACTTTCCAATCCAATCTTTGTACGCGTTTTCCCCTTCGCCAAACTCAACCGGTTCTGCCAAACGAAACGCATCTTCGCTCAAATTAAACAACAGCGCAAATCGTCGCTTTTTAACATCTTCAAGTTCCACTGCTTCGAAGTACAAATTACATTTCTTGATGAACAAATCAAAGTCTTCGCCAATTTTAAACTTGTCGGGCCTTCGAAACAATGACAAAGATAACTTATTCGTCTCAACATTCGGTGCTTCTGCTTGCTCAGGCTCGACCGCCATGTTTGCACGATACAAAACACACTCGAAAAACAAGTCAAAATGTCACATCATTTCCACAAGTTTGGTCTCGGTGGGACCTCCAAAATTGTCACGAAGCACTACTGGACTAAGATAATACCAAAACTCTTTAATTATTTCTTTAATTACAATACTCAACAACGATTAATCTCCACGAAATACATCTCACAATTTCACCTTAACTCTACAATATCTCACTTCCATGCGGTTCTCTCTCCTCAAAAACACATGCACTAAAAGGCGCTAAAACACATACACTAAAAGGCGCTTCTCTACATTCTTCAATATTAAAAGTACTAATTACACTGGCCTGTAAGGCCAAGTGTCTTAAATCCCCCTTTTTCTGTTTTTTTCGTAGTCGAGAAATCGAGTTTGCGTTAGCTCATCCAGGCTCAGGGTGCAACGATGAAGCCAAAATGCCATCGATTCCCTCGATTCCATGATTTAGATAGCATAGTAATAAGCTCGTATATATGTACGTAATAGCCGACTCATGCCATGCTTGTGGTGCATTTTTCGTTTATTAGCCTATAGACTTGTACGCACGCGCACAATTCCGAACTGCAATGGCGGCTTTTCACAGAGTGATCAAACTATATTTTACACAGTTTCGTTGAATTTTCAAAGAATTGTGCCGGTTTCCTATGTATTTTACGTTGTATCGTACTCTGGACTTTCTTGCGTATTGAATTAATGTGTTTTTCTTTGTGTAATGACTCGAAAACCACAAAATATAATATTTAGTACTCACGAAATATAATCCGCTTGAAAAGCTTTGTGGTAGCTATACTGAAAGATAAAACGTGCGTTCAAAATACCAACAAGAACAAGAACCATTATTGTATCATTTGTATGGTTAATGGAACCATTATTGTATCATTTGCTAGACTTGCCACAAGTCGACCTCGAAGAAACGCATTTCGTTCGAGATCGACTTGTGGCAAGTCTACTCATTTACAATAACATTATTTTAGTTCGACGCGAATTTTAATACAAGTATGGTATCATATTTCATAATACAACAAACAATGTAAATTAGCCATATACATTTTGCCGAACATAACTTCGGCCCCTTTGGACATATCTTTTTCGTGATAATGTTATTGGAACCAGAATCGAAAACACTATTTATAGTGTTATTTTCAAGCTTGTGTCTTGAGATTCTCATCTTTTATTTCGGTATTTACAGAATATTTATATTTTTAGCGCGGCCCATGGAACGCACATGAAAACAACGCGCTGTTAGGAAAAACCGGAAATTGATTCTGTAGGTCGGCATGATTTGCACGTGCATCGATCTCCATTACGTCTCCCGAAAAGGTCTTTTATTTTTTTAAAAAGTCTATAAAATTTGCTTGCGGTTTAAGATTTGTATTCCTGTCTTTTGCACCATAGCACGTATCTCGTTATTTTCAGGCCAGTGTGAACGCCTGAGCAGGCGTCTTGTCTTATCATATTTTTGCCACTGGTGTACAAAATATTTAAAAATACAAAATGATCGATACGGCTTCCGCCACAGCTGACATCAGCTCAACACGAGCCAGCGTTCAGTCATATGTTGGCTAATTGAGAATACTTCATGTAGAAACAATGTTTGGGACTATAGTTACATGGTTTCAAAAGGCAAGGGGTTACTGCGTGCATCTGTTTCTATAGTTTAAACTATTTTGGTATGACAGCATTTCTTATTTTTGGTATAATGAAAGACTTCTTCACATATTGTAGCATGGAGTTTGGTTTTACGATTCTTGTATAAGAAATTTTGTGATGACTGATTAATATACAGAGCAGTCTGAGCCACCTTAATTTGGAAAAATCAGAAAAAGAACTTACTCTTATAGTTTCGCTATGTCAAATTTAAGTAAGAATTTGCAGAATAAGGTTTCTGTATTTTGGAAAAGCATACTTTACTAAATTCAAAGATTCAGTTCTACCCATACCGATTAAATACACCCTGGGGTGCAGGTCTTTTGACAGTTTTGCTTCATGTAGTTCATGTAACGGCTATTAGTGCAGAAACCTTGTCTTTTCCACCCAGAGCATTGATTCGGTTGCTTATCAACACCACAATTTTTCGGAACTACAGTGAGTAGAAGAAAAACATCAATTTTTAACAATTTTAATAGAGTGATTGTTCTGTACTACAAAACACCATTAGCATTTCCATAAAACGCTGTATATAGTCACAAAAACATGGGAGATTATTATACACTAAGTGTCAAAGTTCATCGGTTTTCTAGCATTTCGTTGACAAGAGCGTATCACGTGAAAGTCACGAAATGTCTCTCGGGATCAGCTCGCGGTGGAGATCACTATTATTCACCGGTGCCGGAATAATAAAATAGTCAAGTTATAAAGCCGGCAAAAAATTATGAAAGTTTCAGTTTCTTTTTGCGTTTTTTTGTTTTCTTTGACATTTTGCATATAATAAAATAATTATTGAGTCGGATGGGACTTTCGAGATTCGAGAAGAAGAATACCTTGTGGAACCTCGATGTAAAGAGGCAATTGGCAGTCTCGCGTCCATGCACAAAACATATCGTTTCCCTCGGTCCCAGTCAAAAAGTCATTTTACAAGTGGTAGACGTACTACGACTCGTAGTATTAAAGGGTTATTAACCGATAGCGAGGTCTGTACGGGAAAGTATTTGCCTGAGGTTTTCGTACAGACCGAGCGACGAAGGAGCGAGGTCTGTGACTCTGTGCGGATAAACCAAAGGCAAATACTTTCCCGTACAGACCGAGCAAAACGAGGTTAATAAACCGTTTTATTATATGGCTCTTAAAACACATTTTCTGATTTTCATATATTTGTTTTAGCGCTATAAAGGTATTTTTGAGCTATGTTTTATTTGCTAGTTTTCTTCGTTTAGATTTGGTTTCGTCACCGAATATTGTTTACGGAAAAGCATGTTTAACAATCGCTTTAGAACTACTTTTTCGGTAACCCCCACCCCCAGAAAAATGCTTATAAACCCAGTTTATATGATATTTGTTTAGAATATGGTATTAAAGACGTTAAATTCATCTCTATTTATTTTTTGAAACAAGTAAACAAATCAAAAAATTTTCCCGCCAAAACTTACGGTTGCCAGTAAGAGTTCAAACGTCTTGTTTTCTTAGCTTTTTCGATGAAATTTGTGTTGGTATAAGTACTTATTAATATTTCCAAGACTTCTTATTCTTAAAAATGATCCAAGGATACTTTTTCTTCACATAAGGCCGAGGGAATTAAAGTCATAGAATACCGTCCTCCGCCCGCATGTCCAAAATGCTGCCGCAAAAAAATCATTATTTAAAAAATTTCCGTTATTTCAACAATTATATCTATACTTTAAACTATAATTCATCGCAGAAGTCATGTAAGGGCAAAGTCTACTTGTACAGCAAAGCTTTCACTTCGCAGCAGTGGCGGCGCCAGGGGGGGGGGCAAGGGGAGCTCATTTTTTTGCCCCCCCCCCTCAAAAAAATTTATTAGTCACTGAGAGCGACTAAAGGCTACACAAGCGTTTTGTCGTTATCGGAAAATGTATGGCTTATAAGTTGTCATCACTCGGTGAATGCGCGTATACATGAAACTGTCTTTTACAGTTTCAATATCATGGGCGTACCGGAATAAAAAAATTAGGGGGGCGGAAAGAAATTTGCCCGACTTTTCGGGATTGTGCCCGACTACTACCGAAAAAATTATTTCCGGAAAAATTATTTTGGCGACGTCCCCCCCCTCGCCAAAACATTTTCGGTCAGTGTACCTTTTTAGGGGTCAAAAAATTTTCCGGACATACCAAAATTTTTCGGTACATCACACAAATTTTCCAAACAACACAAAATTGACCACAAAATTGACTGAATTTCCGACAAAAATGACAGAATTTGTCCCATTTATTTTTATAATAAACCAAAATTGCCCGACTGTTCATCGAATATTGCCCGACTGCCCAACAAACTGGGGGGCTACCGCACCCCCCCCCCCCCCCCCCCCCCCCCCCCCCCCC